TGAATCATAAGTTCTATCTTCCTAATCAATGTTTGCTTTACCCAGTGTGATTGCTACTCTACAGAGTTCTCATTAGTGTTAAGCACAGGGTAGTAGTGCTATGCTTAATTCCTATAGTTTGTAGTCTGGTTTTCTATTCATACACTTTTGCTTTCAGCTCCATTCTTCCAAGACTGTATGTCTGAAAATACTCTCGATGAACTGAATATTGAATTACTGCGCAATAAACTATACAAGGTAATTGTTTTCCCAGATGTATGTTCTTGATTGCACAATATAACATAGTGTTTTTTTATTTAAATTTTTAAATTTTACATACCAACCCCAGTTCCACCTCCCCCCTTCTCTCACCCCCCACCTCCCCCATCCACTCCTCAGAGGGGGGAAGGCCTCCCTTGTGGAGTCAACATCAACAAAGTTATTTTTCCTATTGGCTTCTGCAATTGTTAAGTGATACGTTTTAGTTATATGCATGCATGTCAATTTCTCCTATCCTTTGCTCTATGTACAGTGCTTTAAATGCAAAAAGTGATGGTTAGATGATGGTAGATAGGCAGATAAATTGTGGGAAAACTATATCATAGGAAATCACACTAGACAGTAGGCATTCTGTTGTATAGTGTCCATCTCTGCTGTAGATTTTCTTATAGAACTTTGAATCTTATAATCTGTTCATGCAATTTTGAACCTATGCCAGGATTACCAACTGGTAGACACTATGTCATATGTACCACTGTGTGGTCATCAGATTGTCTTGATCGTGTGGCCACCATTAGAGTTAGAGTATGTACTATAAGACAAGAAAAATCTTCTAGTGGACACTCTCATAAAGTAAATTACTATATACCACTGTGGTATGTAAACAGTGCATTAAGCTCAAATTAATAGTCCTCTCAAGAGTATTTTATTATAGGCATTTTGTTTTATAAAGAGACACTTGTTAGGAGGCATTCCTGAGACATAACTAACAGAACATAGTGTTCCAAGCAGTTCATGGGCCTTAACTCACTCAATCTACAAGCAAAACTGTAGATTTGTGCAATTCTTTCTCCTCATATAAACCTGAAAGATGCAGAGAAATGAGGTTTCCATGTAACTTAGTACTGAGTTAGTTAAGTGTTAGAGCTGGAATACAAACCCAGGCAGTCTAATCTTACAACTTATGCTCTGCTTCTCCAATGTATTCACATAGACAAACCCAATGTGTCTTATGAGATTTAATATCAGAGTTACTAAATCATTTGAAGAGCTCAGCAAAGGACTTGGCACTCTTGTTAGAACAGCTGGAATTAGCTACGTAAATGCTTGCTAAGTAATTAGACACTGTGATGAGTGCAATTTTGTTCTTTTATGGAGCTCTTTTTAGTCTGGGTCACAGGTATATTAAATCTCCATTAAAGTTACTATGGAATATCCTCCCAATTCAGTTTCCATTAGAGCATTTTATAAGCTATGAAAAGATGACCTAGAAGTTTCTAGAAGGAAAATTACTCATTGCATTGTTTATAATCTTCTTTCTTTCTAAGTCTTACCTTGAGGCATTCTATAAATTCTGCAAGGATCATGGTGATGTCACAGCAGAAATTATGTGCCTCATTCTTGAAATAAGAAGGACCCTTGGGCTGTGTCTTTGCCAAGTGAGCTTCCATACCTGTCCTTGCTTTGACCATGGTGTATTTCTTCATCTCAGAAGTTCTCTGAAAAATTGAATAAGCAATATCATTTGATGTCTTAAGGAAAGTCTTCTCTTGGAAGCAAGCATTGTAGCTCACTGGTTGAACGCTTATCTAACACATTTTGAACCTTGGTTCCACCTCCGGCAATGCAAAAATCAACCAGACAAAATGACTATGAATATGTGGTTATGATTTATGTTGGTGGATATGTAGAAATTAAATTATAATTCATTAAATATTTTTATATTACTATCAAGTTATAGGTTATAATTATTCTCATAATATCCACTCAAATTCTCTCTGAAGAGGGACCATTGAAAAACAGGAATCCCTTGTAGGTTGGAACTACAATCCATTATAACTCTATTCACAATGACATCATTCGCATTGAAACCTAAAACAAAGACTACATAAGAAATCCTCCACCATTCTACCTTTCAGCAGAAAGAATATAGTTCAAAATGCACAATGAGCAGGAGTTTGATTGTGTGGGACAGTACATCAGTGACTTCTCTGGAGTCACTTTTAAATTTTCTAGTTATCACCATAGATCCCACCCATGCTCAGAGGTCCTCTTGACAGAAGATTGACCCACAGAAGTATGGGATATTGGGGTTAACATCAAGAGAGGCTGGGATTCAACCCAGGGCACAGATTGCACTGTTTAACAGGCATCTCTCAGTGGCTTTCCAAGCCTCTTGAAAAATAAATAAATGTTGTGTCAAACTGCTTAGGGGTAATCAAAGAACAATATATTTAAACACTATTTTATTTTTTATTTTTCTTTGCTTGTTTTTTCGTGACAGGGTTTCTTTGTGTAACAGCCCTAACTGTCCTGGAACTAGCTCTGTAAACCAGGCAAGCCTGGAACTCACAGAAATTTGCCTGCTTCTGCCTCCCCCTCCCGAGTGCTGGGATTAAAGGCATGTGCCACCACCGTCAGGCTTATTTAAACATTTTAAATTAGAGTGGTGTTCACTATGTGGCTATACATCATACCAAGAGCCTTCAGACCAGAGGAATAAAGAACATTAAAGTAGAAAAAGAATTCAAAAGAAAGCATAACCAAGCAGGCCAGAAATAGAAGCACTTGTTATGATAAAGAGAGCTTTTGATGGGAACACCCCATCCCCCTCAGTTCAGATAGTGTTTCAGCATGCAGAGGTAGGGAATGGAACATGTGCTTACCAGCTAAGGAATAAACTATAAGGAATAAACTTTGTTATTATAAAGGCAAGGCATGGGAAATTAATGGATTATTTGAATAATCCATTTTAGGCAGTCAGAGTCATCTCTCCTTAACCTGGTCTGTGAAGTGCTTCCTGGTTTCTCCCCATCTACCTGTCTATCCAATTTTCCAGTGGCTTCTCTAGGTGTTTAAGTTGTAACCATCCTCCAAATGCTATGTGCTCCCTCCTGCAGCATGGCCTCTGGCATGGATTCTGATGTCTGTCATGCTGCCTACCCTGTCATATTTCCCTCCTTAAAATTCTAACATCTTACAACTAGAAAGAACACCAAAGAACACCTGGGACAACTACCTTCCTGTTGCCTATCTTACCCTAACTTTCATTTCAAGTATTTGTATTGCCATGAACAATCCCATTTGCAGTTCTTCTCATCCCTGGAAATTCTAAAGTGATTTACAGGACTGGTTATATGCAGGAACCAGAATGTAACCGTCTTTGCTTCCAAATAAGGCTAACCTGCCTCTGACCCACCCCTAATTTCCATGAGAGCAATCAAAAGGACCAGTGGGACTGCTCACTCTCCTGATGATAAGAAACACCTGTTCTAACAAAAAGCATTCCAGTAGAGCTGTTGCAAGCCTGGCTTTGTTATTAGCTAGTAAGTGTGGAAAATAATGAAGGACAGCTCAGAGCCTTTCTTTTCAGGTTTCTTGTGTTGGTGAATGGCTGTGGAATCTTTTTAAAAGGCAGAGTGTGGCTTGAGATTCTGCATTTTCAGTCAACTTTCACTGATGTCAAAGCTACTGAGCCAGGATTTCAAGTAACATCACAGTAGAAATCAGACAGGTTGTTCTGTTAGATTCAGTAGATAGAATAATCCTATACAATGGGCATTGACTCCAAAAATGAACAACAAATAAAAATGAGAGGGCTCTTCCAAGAGTTAAGAGTAAGGAATAGAAAAGTACAGGGGCCGACTTCAGAATGACTTGGTAAATAAGAAGTACTTGAAGGACCTGGGGAAGAGTTCCTGAGCCCAACAATACCCAGATAAGAAGAAGAGGGTCCCTTAGGGCTGTGGAAAGGGGCCTAGAAGGAATAAGAACCAGTAGACAGGGAGGAGTGTAGTGAAATGATTTCCTCTAGACATGACATGGCCATTACACATATGAACTCACAGCAGCTGTGTTTACCTAGACAAGACCTGCATGAGATCATCTCATTGTCAAATCCCAGGGTTGGGTAGAGAAGAGTACTTGAGCCCTAGCCCTTGCTGAGGAGCTAATGGTGGTTGATGTGGCTGCTGGAGAAGAGAGGGTTCCTTTTTTTGAGG